ATCATATGTATTATAAATATATATATATATATATATTTTTTTAATATATATTTCGGTGTTCATATAATAATCAAATAATAAAATTACAAAGAAAATTTTACGTTAGACAAAGTGTATATATATAAACAGACAGGGGCTCAAAGAAGATCTGGGTGACTGGTGTCACCACAATCTTTTCATAGAGCCCCTTTAAAAATAATATTTAAAGCCAAATACCTTTAAAAAGTTTGCAATAAGATATATTACGTAAAAAACATAAATTAAAAACTCCGTTACAAATATAAACGATAAAAAATTTCAGCCAAACGAAGATTAAAAATAAACACGCAGAAGCATGTCAAATATATATAGTTAATATATATAAGATAAATAAGTAAATAAATATATATACATGTGTTTCAGAGATTTAGGAGATGCAATTTTATTTGTCGTTTAAAAGAGAAAGTGCTTTTCAGGTTTTTTAAACTGTTATTTTCTAATTGATTTCATAATGACGGGCCTTGGATTATAATTGAAAATTTTGACAGTTGTGATTTTACTCTACTCAAGTAATAGTTATGATTAGTATTTGACCGGATATTGTATTTTTGGGAAACAGCCGATGTAAAAATATTAGAAAATACTTTTGGCAGCAGCTTATTCTTATATTTATATATAAATGTTTAACATTAAGAAGCGTTTAACATTATTAAGAAAGAAAATATTTAAACACAAAGTTTTTGAAGCCTATAAAAGCCATAGGCAGGCTTGCAAACTCAGAAAAGGTGAACATTTGAAATCATGTTTCGCAAAAAACAACTAAGCAAACTTAAAAACAACTGATCCTATACTGACCATCTTGAGCTAATCTACAGAAGTTAAGTGATATTATTGCAGGCAGAGTGTTAGATTCAAACGTTGTTTTTGAAGATATAATTAGTTTTATAAGTAAGAAAATTGAAAAAAAAAATGTGTAATGTTACATTTAGTCCCCAGTCCGCTCAGTATCTTAATCAATGAAAGCACCAATTCAGCCGAGAAATTCTGCGTGATTACATATCTTCATTTTCTTTCATGTTTGTGAAGTTACTAGAGTTTATTAAAGTTAATTCTGCAGAAATTGCAACTCAGATACTAAACTGTCTTAATCAGTATCGATATTTAGATTTAACTAACAATTTACTAAGATTTTGTAAGAACAGTGCCTTCGTTATGATTTGATTAAATAAAAGCGTCTTTGACCGATTGAAGATGAAGTTTCGTCACCTAGTTGAATAGCATTGCTTAAACCATTGTCTTGAACTGACGGTAAGTGATGCAGTTAAAGCATGCGTTGCAATTAAACATTTCAAGTGCTTTGTTGATACTCATTTTACAGTACAGCACTGAGTGTTCAAAAAACAAAAGAAAGCTTTCAGCAGCGTCCGCTAAGAAGATTGTCTTCTTAAGATAAGAAGAGTCAGTACACGGTGGCTTGGTGATAGGCTGCCTTATCAATTTCAACTGTAAAGGCTGTTTTGCACAACTTTAAAGCTTCACATTTGTATTTCATAAATGCTACAATTGATCCAACTCGGGACTCCAAGGAGAGAGTCGAATTTTTTTTTTTTACATTTGTTGGTCGTATTACAATTATATAGTGCCAAAAATAAAAATAATAAACTTTCTCAAATTTTTGATAAACGATATAACAAATATAAAACAAGGTACCAGAAAGAAGATTAAAGGATCTTGTTTTCAAAACTTTAAATAAGTTCAAACAAACATTTAACGATAACATTAAACTTCTTCAAATTTCCAAAATATATAGTATATAATCAAGAGAGATCACTCGGATCTGCTCACTAATATTTTATATAAACGTACACGTACCAAAATATAATAAAATGTTCAGTAAAAAGTGTAAAAATCAACAAAATAAATAAGAATAAACTTTTTATAAATGTAAATAAGTAAAGGCAAAGTTGTTAATTCTTATTATTAATAACAACATAATACGTCATCTAATTAAAGAATTAGGATTCAAAATTAGAAATCAAAATTCGGCAAAACAATTTCATTCTAAAGGTGTTTTGCCCAATAGAAAATATAAAATTAATTAAAGTTCGTTTGACAAAAAGGTTTATTTAAAAAATTAAGTATTTCTCAAATTGTATTTGTTGATTTGTTTCGAAATAAAAATATCTTTAAAGGCAGACAGGGACAAGTCATTTTTCCACATATATTCAAAACATAAAAGGTTATACAAATTTAGCTTGTATTTATTCAAAATTATCGTTTTAATAAAATAACGTGTTGTGTGAGAAAAGTGGTTTGCAAAGCAGATTAAACGGATTGCATGTTTCTGACGGCGATAAAGACGTTGCAACTTACTTTTTTCTTTACTACCCCAGGCAATATTACCATCATTTAAATAACTGCGTATAAATAAATGATAAAGTTTGATTAAATTTTTCTTTTTGAAGTAGATTCGTGCTTTATTTAAAACTACTATATTTTTTGAAATTTTAGTGCTTATGTAGTCGATATGATGATTCTAAGTGATGTTTTCATCCTTATCGATAAAAATTTTGATTTTTTTTTTAATTTATCAAAATAAACACCTTTTAATTTCAATTTGATTGATAAAAATTTGAGGTAAGTTTAATGACAAAACCGCTTTTTTGAAAGCAAATGGAATAAGGTCCTTTTTGTTTTATTAGTATTTAGAGTTAACTTATTACACATAAACCAACTCGATACATGTTTAAGTTCTTTGCTCATTATTTTAAAGAGTTCAAAGATACCACTGTAATATAGGAATAAGTTATTATCATCTGCAAACATAATACTTGTTAGTTTAGAGGCTTTATTTAAATCATTAATATAAATCAGGAAAAGGATTTTATACGTTATAAGGCTCAATTCTTGGACGTTGGTCCAAGAATTGAGCCTTGTGGGACTCCACGTGTTATAGAAAGACAATTGAAGTGATAATCGTCATCACTCGGATTAAATTGTTTACAATTTGACAAATAATTTTCAAACCCTTTTAAAACTTTATTTTTTATTCCATAGTGTTTAAGTTTATGGATTAAAATTTGGTGATCGACCGTATCAAAAGCTTTTAATAGGTCAATAAAAAGTCTTAACGTATATTGTGATTTTTCAAATGATTTTGAGATTTTACGTACAATTGGATAATTGCTATCCTTTTTAAAACCGAATTGATTAATATAAAGTAATTTATTATCATGAAAGTATTTGTATACTCTGTTATATACAATTCTTTTAAAATTTTTGAAAATGTGGAAAAAACAGAGATAGAGCGATAGTTACTAATAATTGATTTATCCCCTTCTTTAAAAGCCTTGCAAAGAAATTTGCAAGTGTGTCATTTCTTAAAAATCTAGAATTAATGTATAATCAATTGGAAAAATTCAAATTAACTTCAAAAGTTATACAATTTAAAAATGTCACACTTGCGATAGCAGTTCACGTTATTTCTTTTCTTCTCTATCTCTCTTTGATATATAATGTCTCTCTCTGATTGAAGAAAATTTGGAGGAGGTCTTAAGATTTCTGAAGTCAAACTGGTTATAGAAAAAGGTATTTTCCATGGCCAGATTTGAATATATAAAAATGTAGACTTCAACCTTTAATTGATTACGTCACCTTCTAACAGAAGCTGGTGATAAGTTTTAATTCTCGCATAATATTTTTTTAACACAAGGTAAAAGTATGATCTGTATGATAACTATAGGACAATACAGAAGAAGGAAGGGTGCAAATCAAACAAAGAAAAAGAAAATTTTTTTAGTAAAGAGTTAAATTAGTACTTTTTCATAGCACACCAAGATGCCGAGGCGAAAATAGAAACCGAAAAACTTTGTACCAAAAAAATGAATGACAAACATCTCCAATTCCTAATTGCCCTTCAAGCTAAAAAAAAAGGTGTGTCTGGGTGCAGAAGATAAGGTCTACACAAAAAAAGTAAAGCGTAAAATGAAGAGAACTAAGGTCTTCTTGAGGAAAAGAATGAATCAAAGCAACGCAAGCAAAAGATTGGTCACTTCTCAGGTTGATAGCAGTTCTTTTGATTTACCAGCAGGTAAGGAGTTTTAGTTTCATGTAAAAGAAAAGGGTTTGACAAGTGCGACAAAGAAGAAAAGCATGGTAACACTCAACTTTCAAAAAACCCGTTAAAAAAAGCAAAAAATATCTACGATGGCCTATAGGTTGAATTTATCAGCTAGTTAGAGAACAACATTGACAATGAGAGACTCACGGAGAAAGAAAACTGCTTAGTGTTTGAGTCTTAGCTGATGGCACTGGGGCAACCCAGACAGCTGTTACCTATGCTGTGATACAGAAGTGGTGCGTTGAAAACGCCATTGTAGTTTTAGTTTTTTACACAACTGCTTTCAATTCTGGTAGGAAGAATGGAGCCTGTGTCAAGTTGGAGACGTTACTGGACATAAGATTTTATATTACGCTTGTTGACACCATATTGGAAGGAATTTTATGTGCAATTCGGCAGACATTATTCGATGCAACATCCAGCCCAGATACACCAGAATTTGGGGATTTTCAACAGCATTGTGACTTCCTTGCTCAGTGATTGACAAACAAAACGTTTTACATTCGTAACCGTATACTGAAATGTCACCAAGAAGTAGTAGTTACTTTTTTTGTGAACTGCCGTCTGTAGGGTATATTTCTGATACTGATTCTATATTGATTGATGACGTAACACTAAATACTGTTACAATGATATTTTCTCAGTATTTATAAATAAGTAGATAGAACTACACGATTTTTTCCAGTTAGAGCCAATAATAAAAGAACTTTAATAAAACGTTTTTAATTATTTTACTATACAACAACAGGCGGCAACACTATGTTGGTATTCAGAAAGATGTATAGACATGTATTAGGAAAAGCGTTTTAGCGTATCTTCTGTATACCGCCTTCATTTAAATCGATTAAGACTCACATCCCGTCAAAAAAAAAAAAGGTTAATTCTTTTAAAATATATTTCGTAAATAAAAAATAAAAAATAAATAATTGTATTCCCATTAGCTTAGTAATGTTTTTAACATATTAGTGGCTATAAAAATATCCTAGTTTTGAAACACATCCAAAGTTAGAAAAAGTCGATTTTTCCGCAACAGAGTTAACACAGTGCAATGACAGCTAAAAAAAATGGATATCTGAATAAACACATGTTACCATAACACAATCATTTTAAATAGAAAAACCATATGTCCTGGAAAATAAATATGTAACTGTTATTACTGCATAAACTATATCTATAAGTATAATCTTACCGCTTTAACGTTTACTTGCTAAAGATTAGCATTCGTTGAAGCAAAAATTTATTTTTCAGCTTTCATGCTACGAGTTAAAACCTTGCAATGATAAATAAAATGTATTAGATTTTTAAAATTACTTAAAAAACTCAACGAAATAATGGAAAAGAAAGTTTAAATTAAAAACAAATCAAAATAACTTCTGATGTTTAACACATTGTGCCCTTAAAACAAAAACACCAATCAAACCAAATAAATCTTTCAATGTTTGTTACCTAAAATAGAATAGATGTTATATAAAAACAATAATGAAAATAATGAAATAGCGATTTCAGGGTATAGTGATTGATATAAACTACTTAACACCTCAGCAGGTCTCAGCAGGTCGATGATTCTGAGTAAAAACAGTATTTCAGGGGGTAGGTAATTGAGGTAGGTAATTCAGGAGGTAATTGGCATAAGTCAAATAGTAAATGAGCTTTGGTTCCCCATAGCACATTGCAACCAAGTCAACCCTGGTTGTTGGATGTCGGTAACAAACTCGACTACCTGAAATGAGATCTGATGTAAACAAATAATGAATGAAAGAATTATAAATCTTTTTAACCTCTTACAAATAAAATAAAAAAAATAAACTTACCATTTATAAATGAAATCTATTAATGAAACTAAATAAACTACATTATTATTCAAAATAACATATACCTTATTAAAATCAATTCACACACTATTTCTTTATGATATTACCATATTACTACTTATGATGTCTGCAGTTTATATTTGCTCATCTCATATTCTACAGCATCATTATTCTCAATCTCATTTAGTTTCCAATAAGAAACTATATATATAGCACTGTTCTTCTTTTTAACACTAAGAAGTCTACCATAATATATATCCTGGCAATTAGCAGCATTATTAAACCACATGTGGCAAATATATCTTCCAATAGCAGCTTCAACAAGAATTTTTTCAATATCCGAAATCGCATTACTTTTTAGTTGTGGAAACATTTCTTTTATCTGATGCGGCATGCAATTTTTTAAAATTCTTTTTATTTTTCTCTTTTCTTTGTCTTCCTTTTTTTGAATTTTGTCTGCCATACGCTTTATTTGTTCTAACATCATTTCTTTATGACTTTGTATATTTGCAAACCGGATTTTTCTGGCATTAGTGATGGCCCATGCAATTTATTTGTTTTGAATACCAGCAGGCTTATTACAGAGCAGAGCAGTTGTTTTATTTTTGCAAGCACGAAGTTTTGAAGAAAGAAAACAAAGTGTGGCATTGGGAACTTTCTGCTTTGCAGCGCTAAACTTGCCCATAAGTTCCTCTGAATCAATGTTATGAAGCCTTGCTGATTTAGTCTGGTTCATAAGTTTATCATTAGAACTTATGTCAAATTGCCGCTTGTATTGTCTGTCAATAACACTAACAACATCATTCAGACAGTCAGCTAATGTTTTACTCATTTCATCAGTTACTGGGCAAAAGCTGATTATTGAATCAAAGACTGGATATTTAATATCATTTCCAAAAAAATCTATTTTTTGTTTAATTAGATTCTTGCTATTCTTGATAAGAGCATTTCGAACATCTTTGACTACCTGAATGCCAGATATGTAGTCAAAAAATTTTTTTATTTAAGGACCAGCCAGTAGCTTTCCAATTAAAGCTAGGGCACACAATTCACGGATACCTGAAATAAAAAAGTTAGGGAATAATAAACTATAAAATTGGCCTCTGATAGTCTACAATCCCCTATCTATTCCTGCAAGTGTCATAATTATTGGTTTTAAAAACTTTATACATAAACTTTATTATTGCAAGCCTCCCTATCAATAGTAGAACTGAACGTGTACAAGAATGTAAACAAGCATTCATCTGTTTCAAATGTAAAGTCTTGCAAAAAATTATTTCTCAGACCTCCACATAAGGCCAAGCCAGAAAATAGAAGCATTATAGAAGCAAAATAGAATTGCATAGTGATGAATCAAAATACCACATGTGTGAAAAAGAATGTGTAGTCTGTTCCCTCTGTATCGTGGTAACAGTCTTCTAGAACTAAAATTTTTAGTACTTTTACATAATACTATTACATAATATACACGAGATTGTGTATATTATGTAATGGTTTATACGCTATTTTCAAAGCGTTTGAACAAAAGGTGCCGGACGTTGGCGGATAATTTTACAAAAGTATTTGGTTGTTAACAGCCTAAATTTATTGCTCGTAAAAATATTTTAACTCGGCAAGACCATACTTGTCAAGAAAAATATTAATGTCTTATAATTTTATGTCAAAATTGAAACTCAAATAGGCCATCATAAAAACGCTCTATATTGTGCACAATAACAACAGAAATTTAAAATAATCTTATTTAAAAATATAGTACATACCTTCCTCTTTTATTATTAGAAGTTTATTTTTTTTAAACTGAACAATATGATAACAATAGCTGGAAATGTCACAAATTTTCGAATTTAAAAAAAAAAAAAAAAAATTCAAACAACAGCGCCACGTTCTAAATGAAAATGTGAGAAAATGAAAAAGCGAAGAGAATTTTTTATAACGTTATCTAATGAAGCAATTATCTAGCTTAAAAATTAAAAGGTTAATAGGATTTTTATGCTAACTTTTTTTTTTTGATTTTTTAGCGATTTTGTTATACAAATACTCCACTGTGCGCCGTTTTGATTTCCACTTTCTTTTGCGCTACTTTTTTTTCGTTGTCAACAATAAAAATGGCACCAATAAGTTTATGAATTATTTTAACTAAAAGCAGTTATTACTTTTTTAGCATATTTTCTACTTTGAAGCATGTGGAAATTTCTTTTCTTGCATTAATTTTAACATTTCTGTCTTTGTATGTAAGATGTAATATCATTTTGTAATAAAATAATTTAATATAAGGTTTTTTTATAAAAAAGTATACGAAAATTCTAAACTCTGATATATAGGGGTTCTATTAAAAAACTGTTACTGCAAGAACGAATAACAGGTTTATCTGCATGTAGGATTTTTCACAAAAAGATTTATATTCGTGTGGCCTCATTCATGAAGATAAATCTTCTTATGAAGTGTAATTTTTCAGAATTGACAGTGTGCAAAATTACATTTGGAAACTATTGATTTAAGTCTTGCTCCATATTTGATGAATTTACTAACGCTTGCTATTGTTCAGAGTGAGTTCATAGAAAATCAATAAGAACGAAAGAATTCTGTTTCTTTGCCACTTTGCCACAAACAAGTGCTTTCGCTTTTTTATTTTTTTCCCGTGGTATAATATTTAAAACTTGATTGGTTTTTGCTTATGACGATTTGCAAAAAGTCGAAATGAATCCGATTTTTTTTCGCTGCAGCAAAACGCTCTATTAGCATAATTGCCAGAAATGTTTTATCCGCGCTTATTAGGGTGGAGTAAAAATAACTTTTTTTGAAATTTGTTATTCTCTCTGATTTCTATTTTAGTTATAAGAACTAAAAAAATGAGACTAAGATGAGCAAAGTTGGACAAGCATTACCCCTGCAGCAATTTTTTGCCAATTTAGGGAATTTTCAAAATTTGCCATATTTGACGTTTTTTTATTTTAAGTAATATTTTGTTTTTCCTTTTGAATGCTTTTATCTTGTATATTAACATGTTATTTGAAAGGAGGTTTAGAATTTAACAACTGCATTTACTATACAGTATTAACATACATAGAGCCAAAACTGTACTATTCATTACGAACATATTCAAATCTAAATTAAGACGTTATTTTGTACTTACCGATTTTAATGTAGTAGATTTTCTCTGTCACTTTTAGAGGTTATTTGACTAAATTAGCACCATAAATTTATAAATCTAGATCCATCAACAAAAGAGCAAAGTCAATATTAAGAATTGCAATGTCTTTATCAGACTTTCATTGAAAATATTTACTTTTGAAGCAACCTACAATCGAACCTGTCATTTCGAAAAGAGCACAAGTCCATTTATTAAAACTTTTCAAAATTAACAAAAACATGATTTTTATTAAAATAATGTCTACGCTGGTAAAGAAACTAAACATAGAAGTAGATAAATAAAGAACGTGTATAACTTACGTAACTTTTATTTTTTATAAAAAAACATAAGTCATGCAGAAACTTTAAATTTAAATTTACAAACTAACTGTTAAACGTTTTGGACTTGTGTCCTTTTTGAAATGACAGGTTCAAGCTTCTTTAATATATTTTATGATATTGCAACAGAAATTTTATCATTTTATTTTCGAATTATTTTGAAAAAAATATATATATATATCGGATTACGTTCAGTTAATAGCCAAAAACGGAAAATATTGCTATTTTTATTTTTTTTTGTTTTTTTTGTTTTAATTATTTTATTACTTTTTTTGCTTTTTAACATCTTAAAATTGTCTTTTTTTTTTTAATGCTGTTGCTTATATATTACGGATATTTATAAGCGTTACTATTGGGGCTTAGTTATAAGATTAATGCCTTCTTTTTGCTCCAGCAAAAAGAAGGCATTAATCTTATAACTAAGCTTTCTTTTTGCTCCAGCCAATGGTACTTTTTTAAATTGTTGTACATTGTAACATTTTTAACGGCAAAATAAACCAAATCACAAAATTGTACTAAATGATTTTACAAAATCCCTTGGTGTTAAATATTGGCGTACTCTTTCTAGATTGCAGGCGGACACGAATTATACTATTTCTTTTTATATCACGACAAACCGAGGCTTTTTTCATTCGGTTTGTTGTTATATTTTTTACACATCGTTTTACAGCCTTCGTGTAGCACGGTAAATTTTCCAAAACATTACTAAGTTGGATGTAATCTTTATTTGCTTTTTCCAATTGCTCATTAGTGATATTTTTTGTTAGTGGTGACTCTGTCCACTGTGAATTAGTCCAATAAGTCAAGTCCTACACAATTTATTCCATAAAATTGAGAGTAGGAACTCCGTATTGTCGCACACTTGTTTGATTAACTTTCATACTTTTTTCTTCACTAGCTCTTTGTATAAGCATAACACTTATTTCTTGAATTTGTGGCTTCTCATCTGATATCATTGCCAGAACAATATTTTATTGATGACCAAAGAATTGAATAACTTGTTTACTATCTTACGTAGGATATCTAGCAGATACCGTGATTTGACTATTGTACGGCCAATTTGATGCAAGATTGGCAAATTTGATGCAAGATTGTGGTAGAAACATATAATCTGAGGACCCTGTTGGCAGTGGTGAGCCACCAAAAGTGGCACCACTGCCACCACTAAGTGGCCTAGGTGGACCACCACTAAGTGGTGAGCCACCTAGATTGAGGCAGTTTTCCGGGGCTAGATTTGCATAACCAGTGTTACTTAATACAGATGTCAAAAAGGCAAAGCTGATCTGTAATGAGCATTTTTCAATCCCCCTCTGGCGTTTCTACATTACATCATGGTTTATAGATTGAAAATAAACAACCTTTAAAATCTTATAAGTTACAAGAGACTTTCTAATAGAGTCTGAATAGTATCTCGAACAATAAATTGGTCCATTCAACTCCACAAACAAATGACGTAGTGGAAGCTCAATTGCATGTAGTAAACAAATTACCTATTATAGACGCCATTGAAGTTTAATTCAATAAATCAAATAACACCACCCTTGCTTCCAGTGTTTACATTAGTTCGAACACCACTTAGCACTTGAAAATCATTCAAAATGATATTGTGTTCTTTAGAATTCTCTAGAACTTGAGATTTTAATGCTTGAGCGGTTTTTCTAAAAAAGAACAGTGTCTCAAAAAACCTCATCAAGGTTTCTGAATCAAAGATATGTGTTTTTCCATGACTATGGTTCTCTTTTTATTGAAAGTCCGGTCATTTTTACCATCAAAGTACAACACTTTTACTTGAACTTCACTAGCTTTCAAGCTAACCCTTGCCGTCAAACGCTCACGTTTTATCTCACTTCGGTCAATAACTTTGTTTGTCATCATGTGAAAAAATGCTAATATTCTCAAATACAGCTGATGTCATAGGTGTAGCAGAAATGATAGAATCTAGTGGCACTACATTTTTAAGGTCTGAGTTCTGTTTGCTTCAAATACTTTCCAGTCTTTTTTTTTGCTTTGTCTATTGATCTAATAGCCAAATTTAAGTTCGCTCGTTGTATCTTCCAGGAAAATGTTCTCCATAGCTAATACCATATTAACTTTGGCATAACAGCATTATTTGAGAATTTTGTATTGGTAAGCAGATATATCAATCAGTCTGTCTTTATAAAGCCGAAATTTTTATTCTTTATTTTCTCTGTCAGCAGTTAAAGTTTTTTGCTTTGCTCAAAAAAATTAAAAACTCTCTTTGTTAAGGATGTAAATAATTAATTGCGTATGTTGCTGTTTTTTTTTTTTTTTTTTTTTTTTTTTTTTATAAGAAGACATAATTGATCTTATCACCTAGCCCCCTGTTAAAGCTGCTTTACTTTATTTTTTAGTTTTTGCAGGAGATTTCTGTAAAGTTATAGTAAATATTTAATTGTACTATTATTTGAGAAATGATATGCAGTATAGATTGCTTACATTTTCTCACAAATATTCACCATATGCCGCATCACATAACATCCGCTGCTGCATCATATCTAGTTCCGTTGACAGTTGCACCTCAAAGGTTTTAAATACCCAAATAATAGATGATCTGTATCTTAAGATTCTATTTACTGAAATATAATTACCGAAGTATTTGTATAGTATTATTATAGTATTAGTAAACATAGCAAAGTATTAAGCTGTACATAGAAACATACATAGTTTTAGCAATTTGTTAATATAAAAAACATCATAAGAAATATAGTGAAATGATTTTATGCTAACAATATTTAAAAAATAAGCTTTTTTCAAAATTATTTTTTTATAAAGCTAAATTCAAACTATAAATTAACTTATAATAAAATAAGTTAACAACTTAAAACAAATCTCAAAATTTTTAAACAAAAAAAGTTATATATTACGCATATAATCCATGCTCAAATCCTAACTTTAACACAAACCATATTCGATTAATTTATATTATTACAAACTGTATTACATAATATAGTTCTAATATTATTAATTTATAAATAATGTTTAAACTAAATACCATTACTAAAATTTAGAAATTAATTTGCATAAAAATTCGGAGTAGAGCATGGATTTTAATATATGTCTATTATACAATTTCTTTGATTGCCATCAATATTAAGTGATATTAACTAAAATTTGCTGCAGGGGGTAATTCTTCTTCAATTTTGCTTATCTTGGTCTCGTTTTTTTTAGTTTTTTTATAACTTTTATAGAAACCATGTCGTATTTCTTAAAAAAGATATTTTCTGGCGTAATATATAATTCCAATGTTTTTAGAATTTTTTGCGCCAATATTGTCAATGTCCGGTTTTTATTTGGTGTTTTCATCAAAAAAATGCCTAAAAACTTTGTGACCTAAAAAGTACCTAAAAACTTTTGTGAACTTTTGATGTCTTTTTATTTCAACACCAACAAAAACTTTAATTTGAATAAATAAGAATTTTTAGTGATTTAATGAAAAACAATTTTTTTTTGTTAATATGAAGAGTAGGATATATTTTTAAGTTCATCATTAGTCAAAAGAATTGTGTAAATATTATTATAGGAAAAGAACAAGTTAGGGTCATCAACAAACATGATACTCATTAAATTTGAAACTCTATTCATTTATTGGTCATTTACATAAACCAAAAACAATAGTGGTCCTAAAACAGAACCTTAGGGAGCACCACATGAGATATTTAGAAACTCATTCGTCATTATTATTAATATTTTATTTAGTACATATATATATATATATATATATATATATATATATATATATATATATATATATATATATATATATATATATATATATATATATATATATATATTTTTTTTTTTTTTTTTGTCGTTGTTTACAAAGATAAACAGACACACCAGACAAGATCAAAGAAGATCATAATGATCTTATCATCAGAACCTTTTACAAGTTTTTTAAAATAAAAACATTAACAAAACTAAAAAATTACAACTTTATCAATAAATATTTTATCAATAAATATTTTGGGCAAACTTTGGGGTAAATAGCATTTTTTTAGAGAGTAAATGGAAAAGAACCCGTTTGTTTTTATTAATGTAAGAGTTAACTTGTTACATTTGAACCAAGTAGATATGTTTTTAAGTTCATCATTCATTGTAGAAAAGAGTTTGGATATGTCATTATTAGTCAGGAATAAGTTGGTGTCGTCGGCAAGCATGATACTCATTATGTTTGAGGCTTCATTTAAGTCATTTATATAGATTAAGAACAAAAGTGACCCCAAGATAGAACCTTAAGGTACACCTCAGGAAATATTTAGTAGATGGCTTTGGTTATAGTTATTAATAAAAACAAATTGTTTGCGGTTTGATAAGTAACTACGAAGCCATTTTATAGTTATATAGTTTAATCCGTGGTATTTTAGTTTTTCAAGCAGGATTTCATGGTCGACAGTATCAAAAGCCTTCGACAAGTTAATAAAAACAACTAATGTAAATTAGGATCTTTGAAAGGAATTTGAGATTTCTCGTACAAATTGGATGATTGCATGTTCGGTAAAATTATTTTTTTTGAAACCAAATTGATTATTATATAAAAGATTATTGGAAACAAGATAATTGTATACTCTATTGTACATAATACGCTTTAAGATTTTTGAAGGTAGAAAGGATAGATATAGGGCGATAGTTACTGATATTGCAACAGTCTCCTTCTTTCAAAATCAGAATAATTTTTGCAAATTTTAGACGATCATGTAAAATTCCTTGGTGGACAGATGATTTATAAACTTTATAAAGAATATTTTTGAGATCATCAAAACACTCGATAATTATGTCACCATTAATTCCATCAGCTCCAATAGCTTTTTTTTTTTTTAGTTATTTGAAGGCGATTTCGAATTCATCAAAAGATAGTTCTGAGTATATTTCTTTGAAACAGCTGCAGTCATCTATTGGTATTAATTAATCATTAAAGGCAACTAGGGTAAAGGGAACTTTATTAGCTAATTTATGGCTGCTTTCGATAAAGTATTTATTAAATTCGTTAGATATAGCTTTTGACTCATGAATACTTTTTTTATCAACTATAATCATTTGGGGGAGGGAACATGAGCATGTTTTTTGATTGCCAGTAATTTCTTTTATTACTTGCTAAGTTCGCTTAGAGTTATTTTTAAATTTGTCTAATATTCTAGAGTAATAATTTTTTTTTAAGGGTTTTTCGAATTTTTTCGAACAAATATTTATAATCTTTGTATATTTTTTCATTTTTAGACGATTTTGTTTTAAGACATTTTATATACAACTTCTGTTTTGTTTTAGATGACTTTTTGAAACCCTTGGTAACCCAAGGGTTATTAGAATTTTTCATTTTAATTTTTTTTTTCGATAAATGGAAAGTTAGCATCATATACGGCGTAAATTGTTTTAAAGAAGGTTTCATAAATGGTGTCAGCATTCCCCTTGAAATTAATATGATCCCAGTGCAAAAGAGATAACTGATTTTAAAAAAGATTCATATTAGTAAGATTAAAATCTCGAATAAATATTGTTTTAGAATTATTATTAATCGAATCGTTTGAGTTAAGAGTCAGAAAGATTGGGAAATGATCCGAAATGTCAGATTTTAAAATGCCTTTTGAATGTCATTGTTAAAGATATCAGTTGTAATGATATTGTCAATTAGAGACGTTGAATTTTTAGTTACCCTAGTAGGGCGATTATTCAAAGGAACTGCTCCAGCTTCAAAAATTGAGTCGTAGAAGTTTTTAACTTTATTGTCCTTATTATATGTAAAGCAATCCATATTAAGATCTCCAAAAAATAAAAAATTTTTTGTTTTCTTTTAAAGATATTTTGTTCAAAAAAATGCTCAAGTTCACGCTCACGCCGTCAGGTGGTCGATAGTAAGCGCTTAATAAAATATTTTTATATGTTTTTGTTTATAATTTCAATAGATAAAAGACTTTATCGCCGTCAGAAACGCATAAAAAAATCTTTTTCATTAATGTATATAGAAACTCCAAATTACAACTACAATGAACAAGTAACCATTCAAAAATAAAAACTGATGGTATAGATATATAAAAATATAAATATCGTAAGCACAAAGTCTAAGATTTACAAAGTATATTTGAATATAAGAAGAAACAAAGAAACAGTCGTATAATTACTTCGATAATAATATAAATATAGTAAGATAATACGACAATAGCATAATATAAACGTTTAAAGATCCGATAAATATATCTCTATATTGTTCTAAATAAAATACTTTATTATACCTTCTATATTTTTGCATCTTGTGATATGTGATAATTATTAATTTATCAAACTGTTTCAAATAACATACTTTTAACATACGGAGAAAAGTTAAATTGAAATTACTTATACGCAGTCATAGGGAGCTTGCAGAAGACTGAAATCAGTCTAGTCACCGAGTACCTTTATGCTAGACGTGTAGTACCCATAAACAAGTCAGTTCACATAAATGATATTTGCATATCATTTAAAAAAAAATTCCATTCTTTTTATTATTATTATTATTGTTATTATTATTGTTGTTATTATTAATATTGTTATTATTATTATTTTATTATTATTATTTTTTATTACTAATTATTGTTATTCGTTTTTTTTTTTTTTTTTTTTTAATTTAGATTGCACTTTGGTTTTCGGTTTATATTTTTGTTTTGAATGGAAGTTGTTTAAAAAAATATTTTTGTTTAAATATTTTTCAAAAAAGTTTGTCATAAAATGCTCTGGGACCAGACCTAATTTGTATTTAGGCATAAACAGTTTATTTTGATAAATAACTATTTGAACGCTATTTAGTAGGAGGGCTCGAAAAAACAAAAATTTTCATAATGCTTTCGAGGTAGAGCGGAAAACTTATCTCTACACATAAGTAACTTCAAAATTTCTGCAAAATTTTGTCACTCTAGTACAATGTCCTGTTCTGGCAAGGAACATGAAATTACAAAAATTTATTTAAATATCCATATATTTATATATTTTTAAAAATATTTTTTAAACCTCACAGCACTTTGGGTAGTGTGCAAAAAATGCATCTATTTATGGTTATTTACTGTGCAAAATTTAACGCCCCACGGACAATATGTTCTGATCTGGCAAAGAGCCTGAAATTACCACAAAATTAATTTTTGTTTTATTACACTTTTATTTTTTTAATCAATTTTTTTAGCGTGATTTCAAAACCAAATACATATTTCAATTGGAATAAGTGCAGCTGTTTCTATTCTTTTTTCGATTTCTTTTGTTCTAATATTGTTAATCTTTTGAGACAGTAACTTTTTGACTTATACTCAAGTATACGTTAACATTATAAAATTGAAGTTAAAAAATTAATTTGTATTTTTTATGAACTCTGCACAAGTCGAACTTGCTATTTTGTCTTGAAATTTTCTTGGCTCATAGGCGAGCATATACGGTAATAACTATTATTTTAGCAGATTATTTTCCAGACTATCCTTATTAATTAACCAATAATTATTTATAATTAATAAATTTCTGTAAGTTAATACTTCAGGTCGTGAGTAAGAAAGAAATCAACAGTGAAAAACAAATTATGTGGCCGTGGTGCAGTGGTTAGAGTGCTTGCTTTATAAGCAGGAGATCCAGCTTCGAAACGAGCTTTGAACATATTTCGCGTCTCGGTAAGCAAGGAGGCGTGAACTTTCTGGTTAAATGCACTTCCGCGATACTCTGTGACAAGACCGTTAGAACTTCTTGGGGCACCTAAAATAACAAATAAAAAATATATATATGGCAAAATCTTTGAAATTTTCAAAGCGAAGAGCATTAGACTGCCCAATTTTCGGATCACCGATAGATTTTTCTAGGATGCTTTCAACAAAATAAGATGTTATTAGATGTTTAATTTACGAATGGTGGCATCATGTATCTGAATCAACTGGTAATAAGGAACTCACATTTTTTTTCCATACCACATTTTGTTTGTGAAAAGCTGCATTCTGATGCTTCCATTACCAAGAAAAGGTCCCTTTTAAAGAACAAACATTTCTTGCTGATCAGAAAACCAAGCGCTTAATTTGAATTGGATCGCTTGATTTTTAAGAAACTAAAAAGCTCCAAGCACATGCTGCAAAAAAGAAAAAAGAATTCCTTCATAGCTCAAAATCTACTGTGTTTTGCTTATTGCAGCCTAATGATGATAAGCCTTCATCATCATCAAGTTTCTTTAAAGATTACAAGACAATCGATGAGGATGAGGTACCTAATCCTGATGACTACGACTATAATCCCAGGCCGTCGGCTTCATCCTTTTTGCAAATGCGTATGAAATTTACTACCACCGCCTTATTAAGTCAAATATTTGGGGTATCGCTTCAAGCCACAGCTGCCATAGCTACTAGCGTTTTACACAACGTATGTCTAATTAGTAAATTGGAACATCTTTAGTGATTGATAATAATAAAATTGCTAGAGAGAGGTATCAAACCATAGAAGAACTTAAAAGTGAAAATTTAAACATTGATAATGATCATTTCGTAGTTCTTTACTTCGACGGTCGACGTCACAAAACATTGTCAACAGAAAAAATGAAGGATAAATACTACCAAAGAGAAAATATAGAGGAGCACTATTACTTGGTGAAAGAACCAGGATCTAGCTACGTTGGCCAGTAATTTCTTAATGAAAGATTATGTACATAACAAACGGGACGGGTTTATTCGCTCCATTCTAAAATCGAAAAAGGCCATGCCTGAATTTAGGTACGAGAGACAGTACAAAACCTAAAGACCTTACAAAACGACCATTTTTGTACTCTTAATCTTATATACTTAATTTTTAATTCTTTTTTTAATTTTTTAATTTTTATCATTTTGGTGCCCCAAGAAGACCTAAAGGTCTTGTAAAAGAGCACCGCTGAGGTCCATTTAACCAGTAAGTTCACGCCTCCTTCCTTACCGTGACGCAAAATATGTCTAAAACTCGTTTCGAACCTGGATCTTCTACTTATAAAACAAGCGCTCTAACCACTGCGCCACGGCTGCATAAATAATTCTTTTTTTTTTTTATAATTTCGCTTACATTAAAATGTCACAGTACAATTATTTGAAAATAAAAATAAATAGATAAAAGGAAGTTGGTTGATCGAGATTTCGCAGAACAATATTATTCCATAGGTGGGGTCCACGATAAACAATGCAAAATTAATTAAATTTTGTGTGACAAAACAATTAAAAAATTTTCATCTCATTTAAAAAATTTATGTTTCTCATATCGTATTTGTTGTTAGGTTTGAGTTTAAAAATATTATTAAAAGTGGTAGGGGATAAATTATTTCTCCATTAATATAAAAAACATAAAACTTTAAATACATTGAGCTCAAATAAATTTAACAATCTCATTTCAGTAAAAATAGGTTTTGTATGTGTAAAACAATCAGCATAGTTAATTATGTGGATCGCATGTTTTTGACGACGATAAAGAAGCTTTAATTTACTTTTAACAGTACTCCCCCAAGCAGTGTTAGCATAATTTATGTAACTGTGGATAAAAGAGTAATGAAGTTGACTAAAGCAATTTTTATTAAGGTATTTACGAGCTTTATATAGAATCCCAATGTTTTTTGAAATTTTAGTAGTAACATAATTAATGTGTTGATTCCAAGAAATGTTTTTGTTGAGATAAACGCCAAAGAACTTTGTAACGGAATCATTTTTTATTTCAGTTTCGTCTATATAAATTTGTGGCAAGTTTGTTGGTAATAATCGCTTTTTGCATACGGATGGAATAGAGTCCACTTGGTTTTATTAATATTTAGCTTAGTTAGCTTATTACATTTAAACCAGTTTGATATATGTTTTAGTTCTTTATTCATAGTGGTAAAGAGTTCATATAAATTACTGCTTGAGAGGAATAGGTTGGTATCATCTGCGTACATGATACTTATAAGGTTGGAAGATTTATTCGAATCATTTATATATATCAGGAAAAGTAGGGGTCCGAGGATTGAATATTGAGGAATACCGTATACGATATCAAAATAATTATTTTGATAACCATCGTTACTAATTATAAATTGTTTTCTTTTTGTTAAGTAGCTTCTAAACCATTTTAAAGCAGTACCTTTAATTCTATAATACTTAAGTTTTTGCAGTAAAATTTAGTGATCTACAGCGTCGAAAGCTTTTGATAGGTCAATGAAGATACCTAACAGGTACTGATTTTTCAAAAGATTTCGAGATTTCATGCACAAACTGGATTATTGCATGCTCTGTTGAGTTACCTTTTTTAAAGCCGAATTGTTTGTTATATAGTAAGTTATTTTTGTTGAGATGTTTGTATATTCTAATAGACATTATTCTTTCAAAAAAATTTTGAAAACACCGAAAGAACAGAAATGGGACGATAGTTGCTAATATTCGATCCGTCACCTTCTTTAAAGATAGGAGTAATTTTAGCAACTTTTAATTGTTCTGGAAATATTCCTTGGTTAATAAAAAGCTTTACAAACTTTAAAAAGAACATGTTTTAATATATCGAAACAGTCTATAATTACATTTCCATTAACTTTATCTGCTCCTGTTGCTTTGTTTCTTTTCAAGGAATTCAAAGCTACTTCAAATTCCTCAAAAAGTAATTCGATGAGGTTAACTGATTGGAACAAATGCAATTATCCATAGGTACGAAAAAATCATTAAAAGAAGTCGTCGTATTTGGAGTCTTATTTGATAGAGAAGGACCTATCTCAATAAAAAATTTATTAAATTCATGAGATATGGCTCTTGGATCGTATAAACTAATGTTATCAACTTTAATGGTCTTTTGTTTTCCAGTAATTTCCTACATAATTTGCCATGTGCGTTTCAAGTCGTTTTTAAATTTATTAATAAAAAATGATCGGATATGTCAGTTTTTATGATACCTTTTGAATACCTTTATTAAAAATGTCTGTTGTAATGATATTATCTATTAGGGTAGCCAAGTTTATTGTTACCCTAGTGGAGCGAATAACTAAGGGTATAGATCCTGTTTTAAAAATTGTGTCATAAAAATTTTTAATTTTATGGTCATCGTTATAAAGAAAACCATTCATATTAAAGTCCCCAATTACAAAACTTTTTTTTTTCTGCGTCACTTTTTTCTACAATATGTTGTAAAAACATGCTTAGGTTTTCGCTCGCGCCGTTTATATATACATATATATATATATATATATATATATATATATATATATATATATATATATATATATATATATATATATATATATATATATATATATATATATATATATATATATATATATATATATATGTATATATATATATATATATATATATATATATACACAAATATATATATATACAAATATATATATATATATATATATATATATATATATATATATATTTGTATATATATATTTGTATATATATATATATATATATATATATATATATATATATATATATATATATATATATATATATATATATATATATATATATACACACATATATATACACATATATATACACATATATATACAGTGGCGACAAAATAAATAGCACACTTTCATAACCAGTTGGTTTTCCTTTTTGGTACCAATATTTTTGTTTTTATTGCTTTTTATTTATTTACTTTTTTTTATATATATAGCATTAAAAATGTTTACATTTTTGTAAGTAAATGAGTAATGCCGTTCAAAAATGTTTACATTTTTGAACGGCATTACTTGTTTTATATTTATAACTGTAAAAATTGCTTGTTTGAGGCATTTTAGCGGTCGTGCTTACATTTTTGAGGACATTTTAAATAGCACACATTAGCATTTTATTATAAAAAAACTACATTTTTGTTATATATCAAAAGATAATCATTCTATTTAATATTCTAAGTATATTCTTGTATATTTTTAGCAAAAAATAATAAAATAATAATTTTCTGTCAATTATGGGACGTGGTAAACATGGAACAGATGTCTTTTGAGGATAAGTACAGGCATACCGAGATCAAGGATTGAACAATTCTCAAATAGCTCGAAGATTTGGTTGTTCTCGTAAGAAAATTATCAGTAATACTGGTTCATTAAACAACAAAAAACGCAAGTTTCGCGAATGAAAAACAACCCCTAGAGAAGACGCAGCCAATGTTCGTATTGCTAAGCTAAATCCTTTTGCTGGCGCACCAAAAATAAAAAAACAAATTGCTCAAAATCTAAAACTCAATCTGTCTGTCAGCACAGTCAAAAGTCGGTTACGCGAAAATAAGCTGTTTGGAAGGGTTGCTCGAAAAAAACCATTGGCCTCAAAACGTAATCTCGTCAGCCGTTTGAAGTTTGCAAAACAGTACGTACACAAGGACTTGCGTTTTTGAAAAAATGTGCTTTGGACTGACGAGTCTAAGTTCAATCACTTTAGATCCGATGGAAAGCAATATGCTCGTCGTCCCCAGAACCAAGAACTCAGCCCTCAGTATACTTTAAAGACCGTTAAACATAGTGGTAGCAAGGTGATTGTTTGGGGTAGTTTTTCATGGAGTGGAGTAGGCCCGTTGTATAGAATTCAAGGCACGATGGATCAACATATCTACAAAGAAATACTGGAAAATGTGATGTTGTCATATGCCCAAGAAAATCTCCCTCTAGTTTGGAAATTCCAACAAGACAATGACCCCAAGCACACCGCCAAAAGTATTAAAGTATGGCTTACCGCTAATAAGATTGACGTTTTAGGGTGGCCCACACAGTCACCAGACCTAAATCCAATAGAAAATTTGTGGAAGGAAGTTGATAGAAACATAAACCGTTTAACTGCAACAAATTTAAACTATCTTTGTGTCGAAATAAAAGCTGCTTGGGACGCCATTACGCCTGAACGATGCCAAAATTTGATCTCCTCAATGGGCCGTCGTTGTCAAGCGGTTATTGACTCAAAAGGATACCCCACTAAATATTAATTTTCCGCAAAAAAAGTTTTTTTTAACTATTTATACAAAGAACTTCCATGATTTTTGTAGCCAAAGGACAAAATTATAATTTTGTACAGGGTGTGATATTTAAGTTGCCCCCATATTCTGTAGTTCTAAATCATTTATATGGTTGTACTTTTTTTTTACATAACCTACTTTCATTTCTTAATCAGTAATGTTATCTTTTATAACTAATAAGTAGTTAGAA